GTAAATAAAAGTAATACAAATGCGTTTTAAAAAACCGTCAAAGAATCGAAACAGCACAGAGTAATCCGTTTCTTACGTCTTTTTGGATATTGTTATCTCACGATTGTATTTCTCTTCCGAGTGAATTGGTTTTAGCAGTCTTTTACTATTTCAGAATTTTTTTTATTTTAATTTTAAATTCGGCATCCATTACGATCATTTTTCTTTCTATTCCTACCATCATATCACCCACTCACACCCTCGAGATGCGAATTTTACGGATTGGAATTTTTCAAAAGACTTCTTTGTCGATCCTGTTTCTGGACATAAAAAACTAAAATATCGTATAAATTTGTGGTAGAGCTCGTAAAAAAGAGGATAAAACACAGGTTATTCAATAACTTGTTATGAGGTTCACTTTAGGATGATGTTTTTCGTTGGATATCTCGCACATGCTCTCCAAAACTACACTCTCGCGCAAAAGTCTTTCCTCTCTTCGTTTCTTTGCTATCATACGTACCATAAGATTTATTGCCGAGTAGAGATATGACTTGAGAGTTTTATTTCGATATGTACAATACAATAAAACTCTCAAGTCATATCTCCAATCGACAATAAATTTTATACGAAGTATGATAGAATGAAAATAAAGAGGGAAGAAAGACTTTTATCCACGGGCGTATCTCATATCTGCGTCCATTTTTCTGTAAGAATTGTTTTTCAATAAAATTTGAACTTTTTTCGCTGTTTTTTTTTGTCTGTTTCACCGTAATTCTTTCCGTAGAACATGTGATTTCAATTAGTCAGTTTACCGACCAGACTGGTTTAGCGTCTTGCAACCGACTCTCGGTACTGATCCATATTATGTCGCAAAAATGAGTATTCTCAGAAACACAAGCTGAAGACAATTAAAATACTTGAAAGAAGTCGAAATATTCGAAATATTTCATTTTACAAAAATATAAAAGTATCGTATACATACACAGTACGAAATCGAGCTTTGTAAGTCAGAACTTCTATTTTTTCAAAACATAAAATCCTATTATGCGGCCAGACTTTTCGCGATTAGATCTGATCTTCTGCAGTTTTAAAAAATAGCTGGTTTCGCACCACTTGAATTGCTATTACATATATCTAGATGTGTTAAGCCTCTTTTCTTCTCATCTTTTATGCATTGCACGGCGTTAGAATAGAAGTAACCCTCTCCTCCCACATATTAGAAGCCCCCATAGGCTTCTGACATGACCACTACCTAAAGCTTTTGAATGGAGCCCCCATTAAGTCTCAAAAAACTTCCCTAGACTGACTACAAAAACGATTCGAAAAATTTCTACACATTTTCAAGGTTTTATGAGTTTGTGAGAAGAACTTTAGCGGTATTTTCAAATTTTAGTACAGCTAGATCCGAATCAGTGAAATTTTTACCTTAAATTCGGAAAATTTTACCAGTTTCAGCACAAAAATCTGGAAAATAATTTAAAATGTGCAAATATTTTTGAAAAATCACAGAGCGTCTAATACATCAAACACATTGCTTATCTCAGAGGGGGACTTCTAATATGGTAGGAGCTTCTATTGTGGCATGGGATTCTAAAAATGAATTAAAAACCAAGAACAATCAGGAGTTTTGGAAATCCTGATCTTCAGTCAAAGGTTCATCCTTTTTTTGTTGGTTCCTATCCAACGACAAAACGAACCGTTCGCATATTTCTATGACTGGGCACTTGCAGAATATTCTCTTCTTGAGATTGTGACTGTGAAGGTGTAGATAAAAATGAGACTAACATCCTCACTCTCGAGAAGATTCGTTTTGTTCAAATTATTCGGACTATGAAATGAAAATTTGTTTCTCTTGTGCCCTTCTTCATATGTTCTTTCGTGCTGATAACACAGCATTATCAGTAATGTTGAATCATGAATAGATTTGAGTACGAGCGGGGGTGTCGATCTGCGTATAGAGCATTGAGAATAATGTACACACAGCCACCTTCAAGATAGAGCTAATATGTCTTCAAAAAATTAGTCGTTCCTTTATCAAACTATACTCCATTTATGAAAGCCTCCGATAAAAGTAGAAAATACAGCTTTTCTGAATCTTTCTCTTGATTTTAGTTTCTTCGAATTTTTACACAGATCGAAAGACACTAACGATCTCATACAGAATGTCATTATATGAAGGTGAAACGACAAACTCCAAGTCCGTCAATGTTACTGATGTCCAGCCGCACACTGCACTAGCTTCGTCGGAAAGTGACAGTGTACAGACGATACCGAGCAATATGCAGCGACATTCCATTAACGATAACATTTCATTGCGACATTGGTCAGCTCATCGACTGAAAAAGTTTATTTTAATTTGGTTAGATCCAGATATAAATGCATTGGATCACGATTATGAAAATTCTATCAATCAATTGCGACAGATCGTCAGTTCAACGAAGGTATTTCCTGATGTCGAGCAATGTATCGATCTGATCATGGAGGTTGAGGATGCGAAATTTTTTCTTATACTGTCGGACGCCATTGGTGAAACGGTCATGCCACTTATTCATAACATGCCTCAACTCGATTCGATTTACGTCTTTTCTGCGAATCATGCGACACATTCAACATGGATTTCCGAATGGAAGAAAATTGCAGGTGTTTTCGCGGATATCTCGTCCATCTGTGAAAAACTTCATCAGCATATCAAACATAGGGAGCAGGGTGCTATACCAAATCATATTAGCACCACATATTCGACTGCTGATTTAAACGAACTCGATCAGTCGTTCATGTACTCACAGTTACTCATCGAGATTCTTCTCGAGATGGACTACGAAAGAGCAGCAAAGAAAGAGTTCATTGAACTATGTCGTCAACAATATCAAAATAACAAAGTCCAGCTGCGTAAAATCGATGATTTCGAACGCTACTATGAACACCATTCAGCTCTGTGGTGGTACATAAAAGAATCATTCATCGTTTCCGTACTTACTACTGCACTACGAACGCAAAATATCGCGAACATTATTAAAATGGGATTTTACATAAAAGATCTTTACCAAGAAATCAAACGGATGTATTCAGCTCGAAACAACAACAAAAAAATGATTACTTACCGAGGTGATGTCATGCCTAATGCCGACTTCGAGAACTTGAAAAATAACGTAGGCCGTCTTATATCGTTTAATGGTTTTCTATCGACGACGACAAATTCTATCGAAGCCGTTTGGTATACTGAATATGCCGAAGTAGATCCCCAATTGACGGGTATCATTTTTCAAATGGAAGTCGCGCCGTCGAGCTCGACAGTTCCTTTTGTTTCGTTGAGCGATGTCAACGATATTCCATTTTGTGAGAATGAGATTCTTTTCTCGATGCATACGGTTTTTCGAGTCGACGAAGTTGAGCAACTCGCTCATAATCAATGGAGTGTGAATTTGACCATGACAAGTGTTACAGACGACCAGCTTCAACGTCTGACCGAACATTTGCGCAAGGAAATCCAGGGGTCGAATCCACTGGATCGACTGGGTAAGCTGTTAATTAAGATGGGTGAGTTTGATAAAGCCGAAGAAATTGTTAAGACCTTGCTTAAAACGATATCAAACGTTGATCGAAAGCAAATTGTGTCTTTATACAACCAGTTCGGATATATCTGCAAAGAGAAGGCTAATTTTTCAGAAGCACTCACCTATCATCAGATGGCACTTGAACTTCAGCAGCAGATTCCTCTGCAAAATGATTCAATACTGGCTAACATCTATAATAATATTGGTGAAGTGCATCGATTAAAAGGAGATTATTCGACTGCACTGTCATACTATGGAAAGGCTCTTCAAATCTACCAAGATTCTCCTCCATCCGATCATCCTGAGCTACTAAATATTTATAATAATATCAGTCAGGTGTATGATTCATTGGGAGATTACTCAACTGCACTCTCTTACCTGCAAAAGACTCTCGAAATCCAAGAGAATAGTCTCCCGCCTAACCACCCTAATCTTGCCGCTACATATGAAAACATTGGCCGAATGCATTACGCTATGGGAGAATATTTCACTGCACTGTCGCATCATCAGAAAGTACTGGAGATACAGCAGAAATCTCTTCCATCGGATCATCCCTTATTGGCAGTGACGAATAACAATATTGGTCAAGTCTATCAGAAGACGGGAGAATATTCAATAGCACTTTCATATCACCAAAAAGCGTTGGAAATCCAACAAAAATCTCTCCCACCGAATCATCCCGATCTGGCTACTACGCATAGTAACATTGGCCGAGCCTACAATTCGATGAAAAATTACTCTACTGCACTATCGCACTTGGAAACGACTCTTAAGATTCAAAAAGAAAGTCTCCCAGAAAATCACCCTGATTTCGCCACTACATTTGAAAATATTGGTCGAGTGCATTATACGATGGAACGATATTCAGATGCACTGTTATACCATCAACGGGCGCTAGAGATTCGTCAAAAGTCCCTGCCATCCAATCATCCCTCATTGGCAGTGGTAAACAACAACATCGGCCAAGTACATCAAGCGATGGGAGAATATACAACTGCACAATCCTATTATCAAAAGGCACTCGAAATTCAACGCATGTCTCTTCCATCCAATCACCCTGATCTGGCTGTGACGTACAATAATATAGGTGACATTTGCGTGGCGATGAGTGAATACAAAAATGCCATTTCACACTATAAAAAAATGCTTAAAATTCAGCAGGTGGTTTTTTCCTCGGATCATCCATCGTTAGCTGTCACCTACAACAAGATTGGTCGTGTGCACGAACTAAGAGAGCGTTATACAGATGCATGCTTTTCTTTTGAGAAGGCTCTCAAAATCCAACAAAAAATTCTGCCACCTGATCATTCTGTCCTTGCCACGATTTATCACAGTATCGCTGAGATGTATCGACTAACTGGAGATTATTCATTGGCTCTTTCGTATCACAACATCACACTCGAAATACGAACAAAGTTTCTTGCATCCAACCATGCTTTGCTTGCCGAGAGTCATCATTATATCGCCATGGTTCTCAAAGGTCTTCATCGATATCAAGAAGCTGTTAAACATGTACTTCGTGCTATTAATATTGCACAACACAATTCTGAATCAGACCAGCCTTTGGTGCAAAAGTATCAACAGTATCTCGATGAAATTTTGCTTATACCGGAATGTAGCGATCTTGCAAAGACTAAAAACAGCAGCGGGTATGTATATTACGTTCATGAAATCGAATCGGCTGTTTTTCTATTTAGGTGGACCTATCCATGTCTCCTCGTTCTTCAAGCAGCGCACCAATCTCGTTTACATTCAATATTGTACGACTTAACTGCTGGTCATCTTACACCACCTTGTCTGCATCATGAGTGGTTTACTATGATAAAAGCAAACGAACAAGTCAAGAGTATCGTGTTTGAGATTCCCACCAACTTTGTCAATGAACGAGATCGTCTACTCAAAGATTTTTCGTCTATCGATCAAGTTGAATCGATTTATTTGTTGGGAAAACAGCTAGAAACAAAAGAAGAACGGTCCGATTTCTCGAGAAGTTTCTGCAAAGTGGCTATCTTTTGCCAGGATGCGGAAGAACTAGCTGTGCGTTGGGCATTGGACACAGCTAACCAATTTCGAAGGTTGGGTGGTCAGTGTGCAGATGCAGGCAATATTGATTTGGCTCGCCAGTATTTTCAACGAGGCAAAGATCTTTATAAGGGTCTTGCTAAAATTATTGATAAAACAAAATAAATGATATCATGAACTCAACTTTCTTGATTATGTCTAATAAATACGCAAAGAACAACTTTTACTTTTGAATTTGAAATAATGATTTTGAATGTTTTGTCTTTGTTTTAGGTTATTATGGATAGTATTAATCTACAGTTATTGCTCCTTCTGGATCCCAGGAACGATCATGGCCATTACGAGACGATGATCCATGCTCGAATATTCAAACGTTGCACCGACAGTCAAAGCTGTCGTGACCATATCAGTGATCAGGTGGTTAGAGATAGACATCTATTCCTTCCTGATTTTGAGACAGAGCTTGCAGAACACGCAATTCCTGGTTCAAACGACACATATATCTATCTATACTGTGAAGATGAACAGTCGATCAGTGTAAGCAGACAGAGATTGAATGGACGTCTTATCAACAGAATATTTACTGTTGACGAGCTGCCATATTATCTACATAGTGCTGGAATTGAATTATTGTCAAAACTCTCACGGAACCCGCCCGGCGAGTTGAACGAACTTGAACGTGACGAATTGGCAGACATGGCCAAACAACTTCTGAAGCAACTTGAGGAGTTATTTGATCAGTTTATAAACACGAGAATGGGTGAGCAAGCCGCCGATTAACGTTGATATCCGCTCTATTTTTGTTGTAGAAGTAACGTCTTTATTATAATTATAGAATTTTATTTTCATCAATTATTAAAACGCGGGATGTGGTTAGAAATGAGGTTGCTATGATCCGGATTTCGAGAGTGTGGGTGGGTGAGACTGTAAACTAATTGAAAACACACCGGCCTATCTTTTAACGAAAAGACAAATCCAATCTCTTAGTCGCAACTTTTGCTTCTGAGCAATCGACTTTTATGTCACAGATTCGTACTCTTTTCTAAATGCGCTTGTCAAATAATTAATTAAATGCATAGACTAGTTCACTGACGCGTTCCATGTTGTTTATTTCAAAGTTTAAACACTCTTGAGGGCTCTTCATTACAAGTAAAGACACAAGAAACATGACAACTCAAAAAAAGGATTTATGAAATTAAACGAATTTTAACAAAATCTTGAGGGTGTGAATTGAGAAATCAAAAACACCCACACTCATTTATGAACAGCAGCAAAAATAAGAGCAACAACTACTATTATAAGACTTAATCGTGAGGCGCCTACTTAGAAAAACAAAGAAGATATGATTTATTTAACTAGGTTCACTGCATGTATCATACCAAATAACAATAAAAAATCATCTTTATCAACTACGATCTGTTCGTGTTTTTTATCCTAAAAATCAATTGAAACCCATGTTACAAATTTTGATCCAGATGTAAGATTATTTAAATCTCAACCATGATTAATCATAAACTGAACCATGTGTGCATCGGCCGACTTTTCCAATCTGGAAGTCATTTATTACTTGATTCGAAAAATACTTGTTCCCAGATAGTCAAAAATTGTAATTCCTGTAATTTTAATTGAAAAAAATAAACCGTTGATATATTTAATATCCTGTTGTTTTTTTGATAATCAGGTAATAATATAAAAAGTACCATCTTCTGCAGGAGCAATTTCTGCCATTTGATCTGCATTTAAATGCATAAGTACGATAGAAATACCATTTCCATTTAAGCATATTAATACATCAATTTGCAAATTGTCAACAGAGTAAGCTGAACGGTGGGTGTGGGTGTAGTTCGATGAGTAAGCGTGGCATAGAGATAATGTCTACACCCACACCCACACCCTCAAGAATAACGTTTTTATTGTGTTTATTAATAAGTTGTTTACTTTTACGATAACCGTATCTTCCTAGGAATTCGCATACAGCTAGCACAGCTTCTTTTTGTGGCACCATCGTGTATAGGTCCAATATGTCCATTGTAGTAATACTGGTTTCTAATGTTGTCTTATACTCCTTTAGATGTTTTAGAATTATTCTTGAGTCGAAAATTGTATATGGATTATGTTTATTCAATAGTCGATCAATATTCTTATTAAGAAAACTAGCTATCTTTGCTAATGGTGATTTTATGATCCTTAGCATTATAATATAAATTCGATAATTCTGATTCTGTCATTGATGATCTTAATTTATCTGATAATACTTGAGGCATCTGTTTTGTTGAAACCAGAATACGTAAAAATTTATCTGTATTTTCTATCATGTCTTTTAATGGTGATGTTGGTATTTCTATATATGTATTTGTTTTGGTCATGTATGCAGCCGATTCTTCTATATATCTTTCGCGTGTATCCATATGAAGCACTTTTGATTTATCAGTTTGTTGAGAAACGATTTTCTTTAGTTTTGTTATGTTTTGAACATACTTTATGGTTGGTTCTAGTGTCGAATCTCATGGAGTTTCTTTTAATACAGTTTTTCTTATTTCTTGAGGGTGGGTGGTTGTGGTTCTGGTAATCATTATCAGTACGAACGCCTACACCCATAATATATCGAATCATGTTGGCATCGGCTGAATTTTCGAATCTAAAAGAGTTCAATTATAATCGATTATCTGAAGTAATGTATTACTTTATTTTAAAAATGATTTGCTCGGCATGATGGAAAATGGTAATTGTGGTGATTTTAAATTGCTTGATTAACGTATTGATGTATTCGATACCAGCATCCTTTTTAACTAAGGTGCTGATAATACGGATATTATCGTCTCCCTCAGGAGCAAGTTCACTTATCTCATGAAGAGATAAGTAGTGATGAACAATTTCAATATTGTTATTATCCATGCAAATTAATGAATTGATTTCTAAATTTTCAACCGAAATTATGCTTGCTTCAGCCATTATATTAATCTGAATACAAACAAAAAATTATTGAATCTTTATTAACTGAATCGATACAATACCCAGGTCGAACAATCCGGCACGAAAACGGTCGGTTCCTTGGTATTCCGGAGATTTCATGGAAGCAGTATTCCTGTTGAACGGATCCGGTGACCGAATTTATCTGGTTTGAACAGAAACCGATAGGAACATGTCACAACTAGCAACCGGATACGGTTATCTCACTTCTTCATCAGATTCCTGGCAGATTTCCTCAGAGATTTCGCCGGAAATTCATAGAATCCTGCTTCAGGAACCGCCGATTTGGATATCGTAGATTTCGATTAATGCTAACTGAAATATTTCATTCAAGCTAAATCATGACTTAAACTTAGACATTGAATAACTTGTAATGGTTCTAACACGATACATACTTGATAAACCTATATAAATACAGCTAACTAAAATGTTTTACGAATGGATCATATTCAATTAAATTACATCTATCTATCAACTGTTATAATAAAAAAAGTTTTTGTGTTAATTTAATCACCTTTGAATCATTGGATCGATTAAATCAAATATACTTTTCTATATTCATTACATAACATAGATATATTAACAAACAGATGGTAAATAAATAATGAATATCATCAGCTAAGATGGAAATATCTTAAACTATAAGTTTATACCAAAACAACAAAGAGCTTTTCAATAAAAAAAACTCGAAAGTCAAGAAGGAATTCGTGTAATTCGTTTAATACAAAATCTTTCAGTTTCTATTTTGTTATTCATTCTTCATACATGTTCAACAAATAGATTGCGCGTGTATCTGAGCAATGAAAAATACAGTGGACGTCAAAAATCTCACTCCACTTTTTTTGTTTTGAGTCATATATTTAAACGATACAACAATAATTTAATTCAATTATATGTCTGGATAGCAGAAATCCAATGGAGTATGGGTATGAGATCAATATAACAGAAACACCTACACCCATCAATTGTTTAATTATAATTAATACGTAACTATACAATCCAGTGTGTTCGTAATTAAAATCTACATAAAATATTTGTAAAATGATATTTTATCGTGTCTGACCCTTGTAAATCTTGAAAATGACTATTTAAGGAATCGATATGTTAAAATAAATTTTCTCGTATAAAATATTGTATTATTTTATTAAAATGGAAAAAGTCGCTTTCATTCAATCTTGAGGGTGTGGGTGTGAGTGATAGTGATAGTGATAGTGATAGTGATAGTGTTCCCTTCATCTACACGGACACCCACACCCGCCCTCAAGATGAAAAAATGGATAAGTAATAACGTTGAATTTTATCAGTTGATATAACCCATTGTTGACTCATTTGATGGATAAAAATAGGATTGGTACAAGCTTCTGTAAGAATTTGATAAAGGCATGTGTTATAACACGTGTTGATGATTGATGGTCCTAAAGTTTTGTTCGTGAAGCTGAGGTTAGTAGATGAATGATGAACGAAGTGAAGATTGAACCGATTGACAAGATACGTCGTCGAGTTGTATCTTGTTTTCTTTCGAAGTTGACATGCTGATGTCTAATTCAAGTATTGAAGTGTCATAGTGACTATGTATATATTATTTAAGAACAAGAAGCTTATTTTTTCTTTTTCTTTCTTTTTTTAGTCCTCTTGTGCGTTTGTATTATATTTGCTCTTTACACTGAAAACGGTAAAGGTTTATTAATAGATAAAGATTAAATTCAATATTATTTGCCCATGAATTGACTATATATATTTATTATTAAACGATAAATATACTATACAAATTTACGTTTTACAAAAAATACAACAGAAAAACGAAACAGATTTTTATTCTTCCTCTAACA